GATGAGATGAAAATAGTGTTATAACGGCACGTAGAAAGAACAACAATAAAATGGACCTACAATATTATTGACTATTTACAAATAGTAACTACGGATAAAATAAAAACAAGTCGAGAACAACAACAAAATTTTATAAATGAAAACCTCCTTGCCGAGCATTGGTTATTATATTATTTCCCTGTCAATGTTCCCACCTTCATTAAAAGGCGTAAGATGACAAAAACAAGATCTTGTAGAATCTATCTGTATACTACTAAAAACTCTGTTTGTTTGTTTGCTTCTTTTCTCAGTCAAAAAATCATTCACAGTACCATTCTCACTCTTTACGAAACTTCTAACTTCACTTTTTTGAAAAAATGAAATGGTCTTTCCTTTTACTCCCAATCAAATATCTTTTCTTGAATCATGAATAACATGAATGGATGGAAATATTTAATTAAATTATCTCAAAATAAACCTTCATTTCGGTGCAATATTGAAATTAGATTGAATTCTTCATAATCTCTGAATAGTGGTTGACCTAACAAGTCATGGTGGTCTAGTAATAACTGAAATCATAAAAGCTGAGAATTTAAGTTTTTCTTAAGTTATGCATTCATTTACAGATTTTTCAGAACATGTGGTCATTGGATTTCTCTGTTTATAGTTATCAGATGCACTGTATAGTATTAGTAAAATTTTCTTAAGTTGAACTAATAAAGTAAACTATTACAGTGCATTTTATGTTTTTTTAGCCAGTTTGTGTTGATGAAAGTTTTTTAATAGAATTTTCATTACAGTAACTTTAATCTGGGTAAGAAAATTACTTAACAATTTTGTTGATATTCTATTTTATAGTCTTTCATATTATTTATGGTAATCGAAACAAATTGTCTAGCAATGGTAATGTTATTACTCTTTTGCAGGAATTTTTAGGTAGTAAAGTTTTATTATAACAGATTCCTTATTGACTTGTATTCTATCAAAGTATTTAAATGTCAGCATTTAATCTGTTTATACAATAACTTTATTATTATTTCACTTTTTCAGTAATTCATGATTTTAAATGTTTATATTGCTGATAACACTATAATAGGATTCAGTATTTATTAATTCTTTAGAGCAGTGATTCCCAATCGTTTTCACTTTATGAACTAGCACATTTTTATAAAAGCTTTTGGATCATCAGGAATATATAGGGCTATGGTGTTGTTTTATAATCTAGCTTTTTCTAGAAGATTTGATGTGCAAGTTATGAGACTCATATATTTTGCAACAAACTAAGAAGGAAACAAAACTTTTTGCCTATTCCTAACATAACTGCAAAAAATTGTAAACTTCTTGAAAATCACATATTTTAAAAGATGTATTTTTTATTTCTTTTTCTCTTATACTGCTTTTTGATACCCATGGTGGGCAGAGCACAGATAGCCCTTTGTGAAGCTTTGGCTTAATAACAAATAACAACAACAATTTCTTTTTCTTCCCATTCAATACATGTTTCAGTGAGCCAGCAGTTGGAAACCACTGCCTTAGAGATTTTATTTAGTAACAGGACATTTAGTAACTATGAGTTGTGATTTTATGACTGTTATGATAGAAGCATTAATCCTTTGGTTATTAGTGTTGAACCTGCTACTTAAATGTAACTTCTCTTTGTTTTTTGAGACTTAAAAAATTACAAACGTAAAATAGAATCATCAGAATACAAGAGCATTTTGTGACATAAATTATTTCTTAATTTATAAATGCCTTGTTAAAGACTAATGGTAATCAAAGATTTAATAACATTTCAGTAACTTGGCAAGGCTCAGTTTTCTTTTGTTAGCCTTTTCATTAGAGTTGCCATATTTTAGAAACTTCACCATACAGTTTTAAAGAAAATGGCATTTGTCTCATGTTAATAGATCTGTAAACAAAGCACATTTTGAAGCATATTTTTTGTGATTATTAAGGCTAATTTAACAAATTCTAAGCTTTTTCTGTGTATCCTTTCTTTTTACCTATAATTTTGTAAAATTAAACATGTAGAGAGAAAGCTTTAAAACAAATTTCCTCCTGAACATGTCTGTAAGAAAAAAAACCGCTGTTGTAAGCTCGATATATTTAAGTCTTCCAAATTTAAAGAATTACCTGTATGTTTTCTTGTAGTGATGAAACTTTGATGACTTATTAAAGATTTGAATTATTTTTGTTTATTTATGCTTTAAATGTAAGAAATATATATATATGTTGATTTTTTATAAAAATGATCACTGATAATTGTTTTTTTCTAGGCACAGAGACGCATGCAGGAAATTCAAAGACAGAGACTACACCATCATACTGTAGGGTTTTATATGCAAAGGTATTTTTTATCATAGCTTTTAGAGAATAAATAATAATATCAAAAGCACTTTGTGTTATGTGTACTAAGATTATCATATAAAACTACCATGATTTCCTTAAATTAGAAAATTATTCTTGATTACACTGATAATGCATTAGATGATATAATTCTGCTATAACCCAGTACTTGGGCTTTTGATGCTTATATCTGAATACATTGTGCTGTTGTCACTGTAAGTGGGAAAGTGGTTGCTTAATGGATCTTATGTTCTCATTTCTTATAACTAATGTTTCCTGATTCCACAAGTCTGTAAGGAGAATATTAAAAAAGGTAAACTGAAATATTCTCACTGTATACTTTTAGTTAACTTCAATTAATATTCTGTTCAATATTAGTTTCAACTTTCTGTTTCCTATATGTACTTGTTTTACTCCTTCCCCTTTAAAAAAAATTCTTTTTGTTGAAAATTTTCAATCAGTCTTGTGAAGTCTCCACAAGTCTCAGCTTCCATTCAACCCTCATATATCATTAGCTCCTGATAAATTTTGAACATCAATGTTTCAATTTTTTACACAAAAATTAACCTTGTGTGCTATTATTACATACATTGATAGGCTCTTAACATAGTTATTAGATAAAACTCCAAATCAACACATAATGACTATTTAAACAATTACTTCTTATATTTCATCATAATTGCTTAATAAAACTACGAATCAACTCACTATCCTATATATATTCTTTTTTTTTATGTCTATTTTTATTTTTCTAATAATTTTGGTGAATTCTCATGCCTTTGATTTCTCTCCCCTCACCTAATCTCTACTCATTCTATTCTTATAATGTTTATTATCATTGTTAGGTCATTTTCTCTCCACTTCTCACTCATCTCTCAAAATTCTTGGTTCTGAACATTGCCTAATTGCCAATTTTATCTAGACCCCACTGATTTATATCATAATTTTGAACTTGTATAACTTAATAATTAGTTATCTTCATCAGTTGGGTTAATATTCCTTAAATGTTTTCAATTGGCTAAGCAATTTCTTTATAACCTATTTTAATTTTGTTTATCTACATCATTTAGTTCTACTATTCCACTTTCTTAATAGGTAAGGCTTTTTTGTCACTTTTCTTGGCATTAACTTTCTTTCATAATCTTGCTTGACCATCAAGTCTCCTTATCTTGAGGGCTGCTAACTTGTCCTGTGATTGGTAGAATAGTATGCTTATTGATATGATTAGTATAGTGTCATCAATATTGAGGTAAGTTGTTCACACATTGAGTGAATATAATCCTGATCTATCTGGAGGTAAATATTGAGTTTCTTTCAATATAACCTTAAGTGCTGATACCTCTACATTGGACTCTAATTCATTGATTAATTTCTTTTTTTTCATTTGACATAAATTATTTTATAGTTGGTACTTTATGTTTAATTCTGAAACTGTAAACCTGGTCTTACTTCTAAAGCTTGATGGTAAACTAACACTTGTCCATGTGCTGAAAATACCAGATAAGCTATAAAGTTTTACTGAAAAAAACCACTACATTTCAGTTTTATCACTCTTGACTGATAATCAACTTGGTGTACAAGATGGCTTGGGAACATACTATAGTTAGAGTTATCTCATTTTTTATACTATGTAATTAGGTACCAGGTATCTGAGTCCTGTAAAAGTAAAACAGATGTTTTGTAGTTATTTTCCTTTACCTAGTTCCAATATCCTGAATTCCTGCAAATATTATGTAATTACATAATAATACTGGTTCTGAATATATTTCTGAATTTGGACTACATTCTCTGATTATACCTTCAGTACATTACATAGTATCATTTTCAGTCATCTTTAGGTAGATATGTTGATGATTTGAAATAGCTGTGTACGGATACTTGGTCTTTACTATTAACCCTATCAACACTGGTCAAAAGCCATGTCATCACGTTTGTTGACTCGCATTCAAAATTTTATTCAACTACTATTTTATGAATTTATTCAATAAGTTTGGTATCAAATTGAAGATTATAATTCATATTTTAGTATTATACATTAGTTAACTTCTTAACTTAAAAGTAAATAAAAAAAAACACCTAAATATTGGAATTTGTGTCTCGTGGTATGTTTAACCCTATCGCCACGGGTATCCTTTACTGC